AGCAGGCCAATTTTATGTTGCTTTCTAATGAAATTTCAGGGAAAATATACATTGACATCTTCATGTATCAGCAAGCTGCCATTAAATCACCACTTTCTTGTAATCCAGCAGTAGGTAATATAGATAATACTAGTCCTGATGCTAATGGCTTATTTTTGTACTTAGGAAGGTGAAGAGTTTGATTTTTATTTTTTTTTAATGGGCATTGATGACTTTCTTTTTCCTAGCAAAGAAGGTGAATGGCATAGACCCAGGAGGTGGTGGCAGTGGCATCGGCAGTGTCAGTGCTCAGCAGACTCCTTTGTTTGAAACTTACTCGGATTGGGATAGAGAAATCAAAAGGACAGGTGCATCTGAGTGGAGAGTGTGCTCAGTCAATGAAGGTTATATGATCTCCACTTGGTAAGTGTCTCTTGGGACACCAGCAGGAGGGAATTGGGCTGTCTTGTCCTGTGTGCCCCACAGCCTCTGTTGCACCCAGCTGTGCACTGCACCTCTCAATTGTGCTGCTCTCTGGAGAGGCTCCCAGGTGAAAGATGCTGCAAGTCTCTTCCCTAAAGGCAATGTCGTGTTCCTAAAGGAAATGTCATGTTTTGGCATGCATTGCTTTGGTGCTTCTGTACTTCCATGTGGCTCAGTTTCCTCGGGACTGTGCTGGTGCTGTGGCTGAGCCCTCACACAGGACAGTGGCAGCCATGCCCTGGGGCTGCTCTGGGACAGCCTCACCGAGCTGGTGACACTGCACTGCAGCAAGAGGGAAGATGGTAAAAAACACAGGGAAAAGTAACCTTTTTTTATCTTTTTTTTTTTTTTTTCCACAAGCCTTCCAGAATATTTTGTGGTTCCGTCTTCCTTAGCAGATCAAGACCTGAAGCTGTACTCCTACTCCTTCATTGGGAGGCGAATGCCTGTAAGTGCCCTCTTTGTTCTGGTCCTGCTCCTGGTCATGGCACAGTATTCAACTTGGGGCTGCACATGCCAGTTAACAGAGTTCTGTGCATAGCAGTAATGAAAAAAATTGTACAGAATAGCTCTAACCTGCAAGATTTTGTTGTTTCTTGTGTTTTTTCCCCATGTTAGGTATGGTCCTGGAATCACCCTAATGGGAGTGCCCTTGTGAGAATGGCCAACATTAAAGATGTATTGCAGCAGCGAAGAATTGATCAAAGGTAAATGATTTGTTGTGTCACTCTTCAGTCAGAGGATTAGGATAACACCAGTGATGACTGTGTGACACAGCAGTGGGTGGCAGTGGAGGTGACCCTGTGTGACATGCAGTGTTGCCATGCGAAAACCTCAAACAGACTGTTCTCTGGATCTGCTTCTGGCACAGTTTTTATTCAAGGCCATTCCAGTTTCAAATACTGAATAACTTTTCAGGTTTTAAGGTATGTTTATTTTTTAGGGGGCTAATCATTCAGATGACAGAATTTATTGATAAAAGGATCAGATTCACTGTAATACAGCTTACATTGGTGGAGCTTTTCTTACCTCCTTCAGCAAGACAGTAAAAAAAACCCCTTCATTTGTGGCATTGGGAAACACAATTCAATAGATTCAGTGTCACAATGCACACGTTATTTCTGTGAAGTATTTGTCATGCAATGTCCTTAATGAAAGACTGAAGCCATTTAGTGCCTTGTCTAGGTAGTTTACAAGCTTAGTGGTTTTTGTTCTTTGGTTTAATGTGCAGTGTGACTTTTTTAGTAGTGCAAACACCTGCATTGTGTGTTAGGCTGGAGTTCTGAGTTTTAGCTGAAACCTATTCAGACACCAAAAATGTTTGAGTCAGTACCTTTATGGCAGGAGCAATGTATCTCCAGTAATGAACCAGTAAACATTTTTTTAGAACAAGGTGCATGCTTTATGTGTGTTTAGGGTTAGATGCTTTATGTATGTTTAATTGTTTGGAGTTAGACAGTGGCACGTTTCTTGAAAGACTGTTTCTTCTCTCCAACAATAAACCTGCTGATTCTTCTCCTGCAGGATTTGTAATGCCATAACTCGAAGCCATCCCCTGAGAAGTGATGTTTACAAATCTGACCTGGACAAGTGTCTCCCAAACATCCAGGAAATCCAGGCTGCACACATCAAACTCAAACAGCTCTGTGTCAATGGTATGCTGGGCTTTCCTTCTTTTCTGGGGATTGTTTTCCTGACATGCAGTGAATTTTAATTGACCTGGCTGATAGGGACTGTTACTGGAAGTTGTTCTGCAATGTAATTACTGTCCCTGTTGCAGAGCCTTTTGATGAAACTGAAGAGAAATGGCTGTCCTCACTGGAAAACACTCGCTGGTTAGAGTACATTAGGTTGGTACCATTAATAAAACGATGTTCAGTGGAATGTTCAAAGCTTTCAGCACTGTAAATGAGCAGTGCATCAGTTGAAGGATTGTTTGTTTTAATATATAAGTTAGATAAATATAGATAACTCAAATATTTTTTTCTTGTAGAGTGTGAATTTCTGTTAATTGTTAAATCACTTTCTTTTCCTGTCTAGAGCCTTTCTTAAGCATTCTGCTGAGCTTGTCTATATGATGGAGTGTAAGCACGTTTCTGTAGTTCTTCAAGGTAATACTACACAGAGCATACTGTAATTATTTGCATTACTGTGATAATGCAGATAAACAGATTTAGATAAAATCAACTGTAATCTTTATACATAAACCCCATGACTCCTGAATATCTCAGGCATTTGGGGAACTATAAGGAAAAATAATTTTGTTATGTGTCTGAACTGTAGTATAGTCCTTAGCATCAAAGGAATATTTTGCTTTGAGTCTTTGTGGGTTTTGTTCTGACAATGATAGAATCAAAACCTTAGGGTGAACCTTTGTACTGAGTTAATTGGGCTAATAGTCCCTGCATAAACAATATCAGTTTAATTCAGAGGTTCTATAGACAAAACTATTTCACTCAGTGCCCACTCCTTGTGTCTGCAAACAGGTATTTTAGAGGAAAAGATACTGAAAAACTTGCTCATATCTGTAATTCTGTAATTTCCTTAGTTTTTACAAGAACTGTCCAGCTGGAATATCCCACTCTTCCCATATAATGGCCTTCCAAAAATTGCTTCAGGGTGGAAAAATGTTGAAAAATTCTAGCAATATGAACACCCTTCTCCTCAGCACATCTTGGTTTAAGTACTAGGCAGTTGAGTGGGTATTTTGTTCTTGATGAATGCACTGCTGTGCTGGATGCTGCAGGAGCTCTTTCTATAGTATAAGTCTCAGATAAGAAAAGTGTGATTTTCTTCTAGTTTGTTGGGTTTTTTTAATGGTGAGAACAATTAAAACAACTATAAAAGTATATTTTAAAGGACATTGTAAGAAAAACACGGGACCTAGTTGCACCTTTTTGCTCTTTGAAATCTAATTCTGTACATTCTGTGTTATTTGCAGAGGAAGAGGGACGGGACCTGAGCTGTCTTGCTGCTTCTCTCATTCAAGTCATGCTGGATCCCTATTTTCGAACAATTGTTGGATTTCAAAGCTTAATACAGAAAGAATGGGTCATGGCAGGATATCAATTTTTAGATAGGTGTAACCACTTAAAGAGATCTGACAAAGAGGTAAAAATTAATTGTATTTGCATATGATCACAGTATCTGGTTGATATCGTCTTGAACGTTTATTTGTACAGAAATCTAAAAGTAAAAATATGTTTTAATACTTCAAATCTCATTAAAATAGTATCAGAGGAAGTAAGTCTTTTTCCAGGGTAGAGATATCTTTTCTTTACCCTCTGTAGCTGTGTGAGAATCTGTGAAATACCAGGTGCAACCCAATGGGATTTTATGTTGCTTCAGGGTTACACATGAAAGCATCTCACTTGTACAAACAATAGCACAGCTCACATTTCAGTTTGAAATGGAAGGAGGTGAGGCGTGGGGTTGGAGGGGGTAGTTTTGCTGTGTGTTTTACCAATCCCTGTTTCCATCCCTGTGGTGTTAGCACTCTGCAGTGCTTTCAGAGCAGGGAGCTGCTGGAGAAGCCCCACAGCTGCATGAGCTGTCAGGAGGTGGAAGGAGGGGAGCGCAGGGCTCAGCTTCCAGCACTGCCAGCTCATCCTGTTTGGCCTCTTCATGGCAAAGGGGGGACTGCTAACTGCAGGTAGAAGCACAGAGGACCCAGGTTAGGAACCTCAGAGTCACAGAACAGAAACATCCCCAGGGCGTGGAACCCACAGAGGAATCAAGGGCACTGAGCAGCAAGCAGAGAAAATACATGAAGGGATTAAGAAATGAGATGCCAAGAGGGAAATAATGACAAACAACTATTTTGACCCTAGGACAGGATAAACTGAAGAGTGAAATGGGAAGGGGAAAATATTTCTAAAACTTTACATAAATGATTGTTTATACTTTTGTCATTCATGGGCTGCTATGGAAAAAAACTAGAAAATGTGAGAAATGAACATGGCTGAATCATAAACTCTCCAGTCATTTCAAACAAGGAAATAAATACATTGTAAAAACAAGGCCAAGTGGCAAGGAAGCACTAATTTGGAAATGATGAGGGACATATAGATGGCAGAAAGGATTTTTGTAGCTGCATGAGTATGAGGGGAGCCCAGGAAAGAACTGACTGACAGAAGGGAAAGCTGTGCAAAGGCAGTGCTGGGAAAGAAGTGGCTAAGCAGGAATACAGATGTGACAGTTGCATAGAATCATGAAAAATGCAAGACTCCAAATAGTTTACCCTATGGTTTACTCAATGGTACCACCAAATACCATAACTGCAAAGAAATTGGTATGATTTGGGAAAAGCTTATGTTAAATCTGGTAATTCCTTGTTTCTTTTCCCAGTCTCCTTTGTTCTTGATGTTCCTTGACTGTGTTTGGCAGCTGCTGGAACAATACCCAGCAGCCTTTGAGTTCTCTGAAGTGTACCTGACCATCCTGTACGACAGTGCCCGCGTCTCCTTGTTCGGCACCTTCCTCTTCAACTGCCCTCACCAGCGAGTCAAGGAAAGCACTGTGAGTAGGAGGGGCTGCACCTGCTTGTCCAGCAGGAGACTGCAGCCTGCCCCCCCTGGAAATAACAGCATCCCAGCTAAAGGCTTCCTGTGTGTCCTTCAGATTGTCACTTAGGGAAAAACACTCAGGTCCCCAGGTGAATACAATCCTCATGACTTTCAGGTGATCTGTGGAGAGACAGTGAGTAACTATTCAAGAAGAAAGTCTATTGAATTTCTTTATTGTTTTCCTAGGAAAACGTTGCTACTCTACGTAGTTATTTGTACTCCTCTAGGAAGCAAATCTATCTGGAACTCAGAAAGTAGAATGACAGGCAATAAATAGAATTTCATGCTTCAGGCAAACTTTGAAATCTCTTGACATAATTGTTTAAATGGTTGAAAAAGTTGGAGATGCTGCATGAAGTTCCAATAGTAACGCACAATGGGGCATTTAGAAAACTAAAAACTTAAATTTGATTTTGAAAACTGGAGCTTCTCAGAACTGTATGTAAAAAACATTTGATGGCTGATAAAAGTGAAACTTACTTATTTTGTTAAATATTTTCCCTTTAAAATTGTAAGAAGCAACCTTACAAGGAAGTAGAGCATTGAGAAACTATTGGTGAACTCTCAAAATGCCAGTTTGGGGGTTAAGAGTAAGCCAACAAACAATTTAATATAATTGAAAAGTAACTGCACAAATGCAGAGCAACTGTTTTCTTCAGTTGCTTTGCTGCTCTGTTGTGCTACCCTGCTCCTCTTTGCCCAGTTGTTACATGCTGGCTTTAAGATTGATGAATAAGCCCATTTTCTTTGATTTTAATCTGCCTGAATGTTAAATTCTTGCAGGAATTTGCTATAAGCAAAAATATTCAGCTGGGTGATGAGAAAGGCCTCAGGTTCCCGTGTGTTTGGGACTGGTCTCTTCAGTTCACGAGCCGGGACCGGCTGCTGTTCCACAACCCGCTGTACATCGGGAAGAGCACGCCCAGCGTGCACAACGGGGCCCCCCGCACCTTCAAGCGCTCCAAGGTAACTGGGGGGGCTCTGAGGGGCTGTGCCTGTGGCTGAGGCTGTGCTCACACTCGGGGCTTGTGCTGGGGAGGCTGCAGGTGCCCTTGGATTAGCAGTAGGAGCCTTCATTTTCTTGGCTTCCCAGCCTAAAGAAATTATTTTCTGTAGAAGTAAAGATGTAAATTGTTGAGCTTTGTGTTTTAGGACTTTTCCAATGTGGCTGAGTCATTGCCAACATTTGCATTATTTCACCTTTGGAAAAGTGATGGCAGGCTGCTTTTTCCCTGGGGTTGTCAGTATTTTCAGTAAATACTGATTATAAGTCAATCATTTGTTGCTACAAAAAAACCATATGTATTTCTCTCTAAAGGCCACAGCTTGCCCTGTGAGCCCCACAGTAGTGACTCAGACCTATTTAAAGGTTACAGCATTTCTCTGGATGATGTACCTTGGCAGTTGAGGGACATTTGCTATTCCCATGAACACAGAACTGGAAAATTACCAGTGTTTATTTTCTGCAGAAAAACTACAGCTCCACATTGCGAGGTGTCCCCCCAGCACTAAAAAACGGAGTCATTGGTGAGCAGGAGTTCCTTCCAAGAAGAAACTCTCTGATACTAAAACTGAAGCCAGACTTTTTCCAGCCAGCAGAGGGGCAGAGCCACAGTATGGAGCAGTACTTCAGAGACTGGTTTGCAAAGCCCGTTGATTTGCACGGTGTCATTCTGCCCCATCTCTCTGGAACACAAATAAAACTGTGGAAACTCTGCTACTTCCGATGGGTTCCCGAGGCCCAGATCAACCATGGGGGCTCCATCACCGCTTTCCACAGAGTTTCTTTGCTGGCGGACGAGGTGGACATGTTAAACCGCAGCCTGCGGCAGTACAAGAGCAACTCCTCCTTGCAAGGCCACTGCTCAGAACTGGATCAAAGCAGAATGTACTTCAGAGCAAATGGTTTAAATGACACCTCAGGCACCCCAGACTTTCTCTCCTCCTCATTCCCATTTTCTCCTGTAGGGAACCTATGCAGACGGAGCATTTTGGGAACGCCTTTAAGCAAATTTTTAAGTGGTGCCAAAATTTGGCTATCCACTGAGACACTTGCAAATGAAGACTGAGGTGATGTGGAGGTTTAAAGGTTTGGGGAGAATACAGCATATCATTTTGTCTTTCCTAACTTAACACTGCTAAATGCGGCATTGAAAGCTGTAATAATTTTTATATACAAACGTTATGTAAGATTTGCACAAATATTTAAAAGCAAGGCAAGTCATGCTTCAAATCGCACAATTTTGTCTTCAGTAGTTCTCATCTGCTGGGGCTTCTGCTCCCCAGTTCCTCCTGTTCTTGGGGGTTTGGCTCACTACAAGTGATAGAGTGTTTCATTATCTAACTGAAAGGCTTGGTGTGGTCATTAGTAAGGGTTCTGCTTGAAATGCCTTTGTTTTCCCAGATAGCGACTGAAGTGACCCTTTGCTAAAACAGCTTGGAAAGCCAAAGTAGTGCAGTGGAGATGAACTGACAGCTGAAATCTGGGAATATACTATTTTATCAGACTGCCTCTTCAGGAGTAATACTTACTTGCATAGATACAAACATACTAAGGTTCCATGACTGATCACCCTACATTGTGCTAATGCAGTGTATCCATGGAAGGGGCTGTTCCCTTTTCTTTCTCTCCCCAAAATACATTCATTAACAATTAGTCAGATTTGTGCTCTTTGTCATGAGCTTGACTTAAGACTATAGGAATCCACATCAGGACAATGCACTGTTAACCTTATAACATTTACTGTAGATACGGTTTTGTAGTAGCTTTAGAAGTGCCTTTAATTGGGAGGAAACAGTAGCAGGATTACTCTAATGCAGCTGACACCCCCCCTAACTTTTTAAAACAGATTGTTGTGGCAAGTTCCTGTTCCATCCCCTGCTTCCCCCTCTCCATTTCTGGAAACAACAGGCATCCAAAAGAAACAGCAGGTGTTCTCTTTTTAAGGTTAAGCTTGTTTGTAAGTCCCACAAGTTCCTCACCTTTTTGTAAGAGCACCTTGACTACTCAGCATTGTATCCCTGCATAGATCCCGATCCCTGCCAACCCCCTTCTCATTTTTTTTGCAGGATGAAGTAGCTTTCAGCAGAACTCATACCTGAACCCTGCTGGCTTCCTCGATGCCAGTTCCACAAGGGGTGCAGGTGCTGCAGTCACTGGTAGGCAGGTGCTGCAAGAAGAGCAGTGAGTGGTGCCTTCTTTTTGCAGACTGCACATCCATAGGGACAGTGCAATGAACAAGCACTCCCTGAGGGAATTACAGCCAACAGCCTCCCTCTGCTTAATGTAGCAGCCTCCTCGTTGTTCTGAAACGTTTTTAAATGTTGCCTCTCCTTGGATGCTGTCCATAAGAGGACTCACTGGGAGAAAGGCAGCAGTGTGAAGAATTCCAGGAGGTTGGACAAACAGTGATGTGTCATTCTCATAGGATAAGGCTCCTGTCAGCTGCCTTCTCTGAGCAGTGAGGCTGTACTGTGTATTAAATTACTTCTGTATAAACACCAACGCTGTTGAACTGACACTGAACCTCTATCCATCCATCCAGTGCTGCCTCACCAGTTAAGGCACTAAAGGCCTTATATATGATGGACTCAGCTGTTCTGTTTTCTCAATGGGGAAAAACGAATGCTGCAGGATGGGATATGCAGTGTATTTGAGTTTAAAAAAAGGGGAGGGGATAGGATTTGGAGATCTTTGTTTGTAAACCCAAACTGATCTTCAGCACAGTCTAAATCACAAAGTGGGGTTTGGCTGCCAAGCTGTTCCCTGACCTCCAAGGCTGTGCCTTGCTTGCACTGCTGGGGTTGGGAGAGGGAAGCAAGGCAAGGCAAATGCAAGGGTGAACAATGTCAGGGGAGGAGGACTTCCTTTTTTACCTTCCAAAACTTCCAAACCCTGTTCCTATGCAAAGCAGCTGTTGTGTGAGTGCTGTGCACAATGTGGGCAGGCACAGGCTGTTGTGACACAATGCCAGGTGCTTCTGGGCAACTGTTTGTGAGGAAAAAACGTGTATTCACCTCAATTGCCTGATTATGCTGCAAGATGAGCTGAGCATGTTAAATGGTCCACAAACCAGTTGTGTTTATTTCCAGGCTTGCTGGAGCAGTCATCTCACTTGTTCATTATTCAAACATTTGTATTAGTTTGCTTTTGCCATTCCTCTTTTCCCATTAGCTTTCTGCTTTCCCTGGCCTGATACTTGACATAAAGACCTCAACCTGTGTGCTTAGTGTCTTTTGGTACCAGTTTATTTTCTTTTAAAATGACAGTTAAAACTATAGGGGTTTTTTTTCTTTTCTTTCCTTAAAAGTATAAGTTTTTCAGTTTAAAGGTACCAAAAATGTGTAAATAAGTTACTCCACAAAAGCAGCTGGTGGAATTAAAAAATCTTTAGGCTAGTACCCTTTGGGGGGAAAATGGGTACTATATTTAAACAGAATTTTCTTTTATAATGAGGTTTCAGACATTTTTACATTTCAGTTCTACGATGTGTACAGATGCTGCAGAAGGTCTTTGTATTTTATATATATAGCATGGGAGAGGGTTAAAATTAATATGCCTTTATAATAAACAAAACCTGTCGAAATACCTATTTGCCAAACAGAAAGAAATTTTATACCATTCCAAAAAGGGAGTCAGAGAGGCTGAGCAGGCACCTCCTGCAGAGAGGAAGGGAAGGGAGCCACCTTTCCCTAGACTTGAAGACAAAGTTCTGCTTCCCTGTGTTGCACAGCCTTGCTGAGGAGTCTGAGCAACTGCTGTGTCTGTGGGAGTGAGCCTGTGGATGCTGCTGCTTCCTCTGAGTTAAAAAGCTCGATGCTTTCTGATTCACTTTTAAAAGATAGGTACCAAGGGTTTGTGAAATATTCTCCACTCTGCACAGTTGCCTTATCAAGTCAGTAGGGACTGTTCTGAATACCTTTAATAGCTTTCAAAAGCAATTTTGGGGTGTGAGTATGTATCTAACTTCTGTGTACAGAATACTGACATGCAAGTGTGTATATATATGTCTGTGTATATATATGTACACGTATTTTCAAATTTTAATTTCTCTTCACCATAAAACAAGATACTGTTAAATGCCATTTCTGTGTTGCAAGAGTAGAAAAGCTACCAAGCATCTCATCCTTCTGTGTTTGTAGAAAATGTGTATTACTGCAGCTGTTCCTGGCTGAGTCATGACTTTGTACCACACAGGGGGAGCCCCAGTGCAGCAGCTGGGCTCAGTGCAGGGCTGGGACTGCGCTGGCACCTCAGCCTCCAGGCACAGCCCTGTGTCACACCTGTCCTGCCTCCAGAAATGCACTGACAACTGTGCGTGTCTGCCCAGGCCTGCACGTGTGCTTCTGCGCACCTGACTGCAATACCACTCTGATCAATTAACTAACTGCCTTGTGTTTTAATAAAAATGTAGCAAGCTGGGCAAACCTTTTGGCTTATTCTCAGATGGAAAGATATTAAAACCAAAAAAATCCTAACGTGTATTTAAGCAAAGGACGAAATCTTAAATTTGCCTCTAACCAAGAGACAGAAATCTGTACCTCAAATTGCTCTAGGCAGTAGGTTTCTGATGCTGTTGCTGTGATGGTTTAGAGTTCACCATTTCACTAAAACTAAAACCTTTGTGCCTGATAATGATTTACTGAGTAAAGTAGCAGTGGCAGGAAGATTATAAAATCCTGATGCTGAGTTTTGAATGTGAAGTAAATTAGAGTGAATAAAAGTTCGTACCTTTCCACAGTGAACTTCAGGTGGTTTTCTTTCCCTTCCCCTAACAAAAAAAAATTGTGCGTATGTGGTTTTTTCCAGGAATAGCATTGGATACTGTGCTATAGTAAGATAATTAATAAAAATGATGTGCAAATTATCTTATTTCTTGCTATATGCTATTATAGTGTTTGCAGTTTGCATGGTGATCAGAATTTCTGATAGCAGGGAACTTACTCAATATGAGAATGAAGACTCCAGAGCAAAGATGTTGGTGGTGTGTTAAAATTAAGAGAAACCCATGGGGTTTTGGCATCTTAAAAGGGAATTCATCTTTTTAGTTCCAGTTGACTGACATACTTCTGAATGAGCAAACACATCAATTTATGTGGGGCAGAAATGACTATACTGAGTGTGGTTGTCTTGGCACTGACCTGCTCTTGTCTACTACCAGGAATATTTCCCTTTATACAGGCAATATAGATACAACAGAAGGGGCTGTTAAATTATCCTTTCATACACAGAAGCACGTTAGAACAGCATTAATGCTTTATGGCCTACTCTCTGCCATCCTTGAACACCTGTATCTGTTTCTGTACAAGTGCAAAATTCAAATACATAATGGTAACTGGGGACAGGCAGAGAACCACACTGGACCTGACAATCCTGGCAAGGGGCTGAACTCACACCTTGCAAGGAGACTTGCCCAACATATCGAATTTAGGCCACAAGGGCACCACGGAAATGAGCAGGACCTGATGGCCCAGTTTCTATTCTATATTGTAGAAATGCTCTCGGGGTGTACCAGTCTGAAGGCAGCTCTTCCTCTTCACTGGGCAAACCCCAGATTACCTCAGAGAATAAGTCAGGAGTTGTGGAGAGAAGGGAAGGGCTCTGCCCTTCTGAACACAAAGTGACATGCAGTAAATCATACTGACAGTTTTCTCAAATTATATGTTTTGTGCTAAAAAGGACTATGGTAATATTCCAAGAAACCAGAATTTCAGGAGAAACTATTTTTAATAATCAGCAGCAGCCATTGGTGTGTGCTGCCAGTTCCTTTAAGAACACCCGAATTCCCCACATCATCCAACCTCTGTCAGCTGAAGCGTTTGCTCTTGCCTCCAACGTCCTGCACGTGACAAACCTCCACTGCAGCCCCCAGCTTGTGCAGCTCACTCAGCCACAGCATCTGCTTGGGAGACAGGCGGTCGTTGGGGCCCTTCACCTCCACCAGCTACAAGGAAAGAGGGATGGTTAGAAGTGTGTCCCTGGAGGAACTGAAGGATCATTAGCTCCCAAGCAAAAAGTGGGTTCCTATAGCTGTTATTTGCAAGAAAAATATGAGAAATTTTAGCACAATGGAAGGTCTAGTGTGTGCTGAATTACTATCCCATATTTCAAAATTTCACTGTAAGACAATTAAATTTTATATATTAAATATCCACCAAAACACAGCCAGAAAGCCCTAGTGAATGAACATCTCTCATACTGAAAATTGAGTGTCTGCACCCTCAGCTGTTCCAGCTGATACTGACAGCAACTTACTCAGGTATTCTAGAGAACTAATTTCTGTTATTCAGCTCTGTATCACAAACACACAAGTTGCTCCAACAGATGAGATGTCTCATAGTTTTCTAGTAGCTATTCCACTACCATGCAAGGCACCATCCATGACCGTTTACTCAATTTCTGTAGCAGACACAGACACAGTTGTAGACTCAAATAGTCCAGATTTTGTCTAAGTGGTGCCAGTAGAAGCCCTTGCTAACAACAGTCGATGCGTGGCTGATTGGTACCAGGTGCTTTACAATGCGATTAATCAAAGATGTTTTCTACACCAACCTGAGCCAGCGCAGATCGTTGCTGCTCCCTACGCCCATTAAAGCTCCAGCGCAGCTGCTGGAGGAGCGGATAATCACCCACTGCTCCGTGGGGCCAGGGCAGCCGAGCCTGACTCCACCGCCACAGGAAATTACCATTTGTGTGGGCTGACAAGTGCAGGGTTTTACACCAGGGAAGGCATCTGAGTGCTGAGCATTCCCGTCCTCCCCACACACCTTGAAGTGCCGGCTGTGGGAGCGCCACACGAGCAGGTCGGGCAGTCCCCCCCGGCAGTGCCGCAGGTCCCTGGAAAGCCGCCGGAAAACACCACTCAGAAACGCTCCTCCAAGGCAAGAGACCAGGCTCTGCAAGAGAAGGTTTGGTAATTGGTTTGGATTGGTTTTAATTTCCTGCAGAACCATTTCCCAACCCTCACAAGAATACTGGATGGCCCAGCTCAGCTCTTTGTTTAGTCTCGTGTAACAAGAAACTTAAGTAGAAGTTTTTTACATGAATTTCCCTGCTGTGTTCCCAGCTACTTTTGCAGCAAAAAGTGACCATCTGAGAAAATTGTAACACTACCTGTGCAGGAAGTTCAGGGCAATAATGCCTAATCTCAATTCCTCCCTCCCACCACTCTCCACCTGCCATGGCTCAGGCCTCAATACAACCTTCTTATCAGCACACTAGGGCTATGAGAAATTGAATGTTTCTGGGCAACAGTTACTTACCTGGACTTGCTGGAGGGAAGTAAAGCGTCCCCAGTTAACCAGGGCTGCTGCTTTTCCCTCCTGAGTGGTCCAGACATCAGCAACCAACTTTGCCAGTGTCTCCGAAGAAGCTGTGTGAAGCTGCTGGAGTCTGGCCTCAATGACAGCCCTTCTGCTCTCATAGAAGCTGTCAGTGTATAAATCCAGGGGGGCTGTCTGGATGAAAAGGTAAATACAGCTCTCAGGAACTGCCACTGCAACAGCTATTCCCAGAATGATAATGTTCTACTTCATATTTTTCTTAACTACAAAGTAACTCAAACATTGAGCTGATTTATCTTGAACATGCCCACCACATAAATATTTATTAAATGGGAAAAAATTTACATTTGTTTTAACACCCAGTGCCAGTGCAACAAACGCTGGCCACATGTCGGCCTCTGCTCTGTTGTTTTGAACTCTAGACAGAGGCTTCCTTTAACAGACAAAGAATTCTGTGCATTCCCAGCACTCTGAGCAGTAATGTTCCAGGCAGGATTTGGAACCGGGATCAAAACTACTCAGGCACAGTGAGCAGTTTGAGGTGAAAGAACAAAGCCATCATGGAGCTGGGGAGGATCCTCCAGTGCCCACAGGAAGAGCCCCGAGACAGAGCTGAACACTCAGCACGTAAAAAGCCCCTGCAGCAATTCAGCTTTGATGCCGTGGAACAGGCAGGGCCCGAGAGCCACCAGCTTTTCAAAAGCAAATGCACAGCTCTTGCTTAGGAAACAGCCTTACACAGACGGCTGCCACACATAATCACACAAAATACAGCCTAGGAGTGAGAAGAGAATCAGGTGTGAGCTGTCAGCTCATCATTGGTGATGCCCGAGGATCATGGATAGCTTTGCTCTGCATTAATAAGGACAACAAGAGGAGCTATTTGTATGAATTCCATTTCAGAGTTTTGTATGGCCTTTGGAGTTACAGCTGCCCCCTTCCTGTCCTACTTGTGGGCCTGTTCAGCTCAGCCACAAGGACTTCTGCTTCAGATGGTGAAGAAAAATAAAGCCACAAGTTCACCTGGAATCATTGATCTTGGGGTCCAACAGGGAGCTTTTGGAGAGGGCTGTGTAATGTTGTTTGCTTGCTTCCTTTGTCGAAAAGGAGGGATGATCCCAAAAGAATGGTGGGGTGGGTGGGTTGATAAATAAAGATATTGAAAAGAAATGGACTTCTATTTTTTTTCCCCCCAATGGAATGTGTCCTTTTCCAATGAGAGGAACTAGGCTGGGACATAGCAGCGTTTCTTCACTGTTTCTTCCACCTTGCCCAGTGAGCTCAGATACAGGATACAAACATTCGATCAGATCAATCCCACATTCTCTGACTGTGAATCCAGTCTGGCACAGCAACTGGTTACTGAGGAGGCCCTTGGCAATAAACCCAATATAATAAATAATAAAACGAAGGAAACACAAAGAATAAAATGCTAATCTAATCCTAAATAAGATTTTAACATGGTTACTGAGTCTACAGCAATGGAGAAATAAATTAACTAAAGAAAGCCTTTTAAAATTACCTGATAGGAATTTCTGAACATGTCAGGTATGTCATCCATGAAAATGATATCCCACATCAGAATCCCATACAGCGTAATAAATGTTGAGCCTTCCCCATGAATGCCTAAAGGGCAGAATTTAATAAAAATGGAAACATTAATTTCTACAGCAATGTCATATGAAGAGATACTGAGCCATCATGACCCAAAGCAGAAATTTGCCATGTTCAGGTTCATGGCCAGCTGATGTCAGCACACATTCCCACTGCAGCTGCAAATGCAGTTCATTCTGCCCCATTCCCCAAGCCTGCTGCTCCCAGGCCATGGGCCTTCAGCTGCAGCACAGTTCCCATCCCTGCTTGGCCCCCACAAAGCTAACTGGGCTAACTGACAATTTTTAAGTATTTTTTTGACATTAAAAAAAGATACAATGTGGATGATAATAATATATAATATATTCAAAACATGACATATATTTATAGTATATAATTAGATCTTGTATAAAATATTATTCTATATACCTGTTTTATTGTAAATATTACCTATTATGCCTTTTATATATATGCATATTTATATATGTAAATACAAATGTGTTCATGCATGTATACACATGCTCCTACACATTTATGCACACATATGAGCATGTGAAAACAACACATCAAGGACACCAAGGAGAGCTTCTTTGAATACCTCAACACCAAAAGGAAAACTCAGGTTAATGTGGGCCTGCTGCTAAATGGAGAGGGGCCCTGGTAACACGGGACACAGAGAGCAGGGCTCTGGAACACCTTCCTTGCATTGGTCTTCACTGCCAAGACCAGCTCTCAGGGACCTCTAACCCAGAAGACCTGGGGAAAGGAATGTTGGAAAACCTTCCCTTGGTTCAGGAGGACTGGCTTAGAGAACACCAAGGCAAACTTGATATCCACGAGTCCATGGGCCCTGAGGGGATGCACCTAGAGGTGCTGAGAGCGGGCAGACACCACGGTGAGGCCACTCACCATCATCTTTGGAAGGTGGTGGCTATCAGGAGGGGTGCCAGAAGAAAGCAAATGTCACCCATTCTGCAGAAAGGGAAAGGAGGACCCAGGGGAGTCCTGGCCAGTTAGCCTCACCTCAATCCCTGGAAAGGTGACAGTGCCTCATTCTGGGAGCCATCTCTGTCCACATGGATGACAAGAAGGTGGTCCTGAGTGGTCAGTATGGATTCACTACAGCTAAATAATGCCTGATGAACCTGACTGCCTTCTACAGTGAAGACCTCTGCACTGGAACAGGCTGCCAGAGATGCTGTGGAGTCTCCCTCCCAGGAGCTATTCCACAACAATCCTGTGCCATGTGCTCTGGGATAACTTCACTTTAGCAGAGGGGTTGGACCAGATGACCCCATGTGAGCCCTTCCAACCTGAACCATGCAATGGTTCTGTGGTTCTGTGAACATTTCTATATAAATGTACAAACACAGGGAGACATATATATGTATGACTATATGTATCTCTATATGTGCAAACACAAGGAAACACTTTTTCACTGTGAAGGTGATGAGGCACTGGCACAGGCTGCCCAGAGAGGCTGTGGACTCACCCTCCTTGGGATATTCTAAAGTTGGACATGGTCTGGGAGAGTTGGCTCTTGAGCTGAGGGTTGGACAAGGTGACCCCAGAGCTCCCTGTCAATCTCAGCCACTCTGTGATGTGTATTCATTATTAGTCTGTTAGTACAATATAACTATGGTAGTTTATGTAATGTTACATGACACACACACAGCTCCCAGAACATGTATGTTATTATATACCATATAATGTATATATATTCATATATATATTATACAGGCATGATACCTCATACATATGAGAGAGACCATGTGTGTGTTGGGGTGTGTGCACGGAGCTGGCATGGCTATTCTGGATCTTCACTAAATCACACATGGCCACTGTGTGCTCAAAACTGTACTGAGCCAAGAACACCAATGATGAGTGGGTGGGAGTGAGGAATCTCAGCACAATTCTCCCAAATTCCATATATTGTTCCCTTCCTATTTGCCTTTTTCTGATGTGGCCACTTTTGCTGCAACAGTATAATCAATAAAATAAACTATGTTAAAATATATATCTTATAGAAAGATACAAATTTTATCTTTAAAAAGAACCAGCCTACCTTGTTGTATTTTGCTTTTTTTCCTGTAAAACAGACGTATATATTCTTACTAGTTGATGGCTTTTTATAGCCCCTAAATTGTAAAAATACATGAAAAACTACTAGTAGAGCCTTTTAAAAAAAACCCTGCAGTGTTGTGCTATTAGTACATACTGTTTTCATGGACATCTACTACCAAAAATCAGTGGAGAAAATCACATTTCCTTAGTGACACTCCCTTAAATGATAATGCTAGCATTTTACCCTAAACTGTTTTATCCTCTGCTGTTCAATGGTAAGGAAGGCAAAGTAAGTGATTTTCTGTGTAGATGAAGAAAAAACACTGGGGTTTTCCTAACACATTTCAAAACCACCTTCGATAAATGAAGACAGCAAATCATTAAAGGCCAGGAAGCAGGTCAGGTTGAAAATCATGTTAGAGCACGTTGGTAAGGAAGTGATGTATTAGAGGTGGTTGGGAAGGAAACAGAATCAGCCTAAAATCTGGTCTAATGAAATCAGCTACAACTGGTCTGTTAACTAAACAGATTAGTAAACAGTTTCTTTACTTACTCCCACAGTTATTTCACTGCAAAATATCCCCAAACCAACAGTACTGTTACCCTGATCGAAACCATTCCTCCTGTAATGAGTTAATGCCAGCTCCTCAACCGAGCACATGACTGTGGATACACTGCAGTCTTCGCCTCCTTCTCCATCACCAATATCCTCCATGAGAAACACAGATTTTCCCATTCCCGTCTGAGGACACATCTTTCCATTGATTGTAACCTGAGCATATTAAAACATTTGGTTACTTTCCAGCATCACATTTAAAAAGCTTTAGCCCAAAACCCCCTTTTCAGTTTTCTCAAAATCAGAACTAGATTTGTTTCCAAAAATCAACTGAATAAAATTTAACCTGTCATTCCTGTGAAATCATCCAGTTTAGCTTTTATAAACCAGAACATTTTAAAGAAAACAAATGTCTAGCAAAAATTCTGGGCAGATGGGAATGTAGCCTTTCTCTATGCAGCACAAGGAGCAAAAACACAGAAAACTGAGTAGACAGACTGGGCTGAGACAAAGAAGGGCTGCAGGAAGACGTGGTGAGGACACTGAGAGAGGAAGTGAGACTCTGCTCTGATTTTGCCCAGACAGAATTATCTTTACAATGGTATGGAAAAGATAGATTTTTTTAAAATCCATTCAAATATCATGCAAGTGCCCCACACTGAATATTTGCATAACATATATTTACAGTGTGTAACTTCTAAAGGTTCCTAAAAGAACAGTGGCATTTTTTTAGCCATTAATCTAATGCTGACAACATGCTAAGGTGACTATTTTCTAGCACACAAAATGCTTGGCCTGCAGCCACCAGAGGCAGTGCATTGATCTGATCATACTCTTCAGCCAGAAATGAAGGCTCTGAGGGCATTACTGATAAATTAGTAGAGTTTATGACTGATCACTGATCACATCCATAACAAATATAAAGCAATGCAAATTAGATCAGTGTACAGCTGACTAACTTCAAATAAGAAGCTGACCAACACAGAAGTATTTGACTACAAGAGGGCTTTGTTTTAGAAACACACTTGTATTCCTTTTCCTGCACCATGTCAGTCAGAGGCTGGTGGACAGCATTTAACATTTAACATTAAAGTCTCCCAGATTACTTTTATTCGTCAGAAGTAAAAAGAGCTCATGAGTTGCTGCTTCCTTACGTGTGTCACATCCTGCACGGTGAGGATGGGCAGGTCCTGCAGCAGGCCCTGGAACTGCTTGCAGCTGGGGGAGTCCCTGATGCGCAGGGCGCGTTGGCACAGAGACAGGCGGTGCCCGGTGCGCACGGCTGGGTCTGCCAGCCCCCTCCGGATGCAGCCAATGGCCTGGCAAACAGCAAGGGGACAAACAACAATTTACAGAGACCTCTGCACACCTCTCTGTTCAGGAGCAATTGACTGAAGCACAAATGTGAGTGTAAGAACGAGAGTACAGGACAGGGACACCTTGCTAACTGATGTGGTAAAGTTCTAACCAATGAGTAACATTTTGCACAATGAGGCTTCTGGATTCAAATTTACACTAGTGCAGTAAAAAGACATTCCTCTCAATTTCTACTGATCAGTGTAAGATTAAGGAAGTGGATTAATTTTCTTAGTTGAAAATGGTTGTATGACCTTAGGATTCCTAACAAAATCTGCATTTTTAGGAGACTCTACTCCACTGTTCTTTCCATAATAAATACTTTTTAAAATGTTTTCAGACAATGCCTGCAGTGTTTCCAGCCTTCCAGCTGCAGTTGTGAAGATACCTTCTTAGTGTTTTTCAAGTGCTGATGTAGATTCAGAGCCAGTCGATCCCACCATCTCCCTCTGCTGTCAGTACAATACACTTCCTGGGCCAGGAGGCTCTGCAGCTGCTGCACTGCTTCCTGTAGCAATGGGATTGAACCTTTATTAACTGGGTTACAAAACCAAGTTCAAGTTAGCTTGTCACTTTCCCCTCTAATTAATGAATACTACAGAAACTTTGTCGCTGGACAATCCAAACCTACTTTTTACTCCACTACCCAATATAGCCATTTCAGATCCATACATGTATCTTAAAAATTCTAGAATAGAGGTATTTTTATGTAAACTTAAAGGTTAACTGCCAAAAATACAGTATTTTTATCCTTTCTGTATCCCTTAATGTATATGAAAAATATATTAAGTATTACTTATTGCTTTCTTGCTGAGGTGACGTCTTTTTCAAAATAATCTGATTAATGGAAGTCAGAGGCCTTTGGAGATGTTAATTCCCTAAGGAAGACCCAAGGATTTCCAGAAGATTTCTCTTATTTTTCTCTTATTTTTCTTATTTAAAATCAATAGCCAAATCTAGTGAAACACAGGTATCTTTAAATAACGAAACAAGCATATCTGAGCAATAGTTTTATGGTGCATTACATATGGTAAATCTTCAAAGCATAAGCAGAAATCAAAACAATTTAAAACTTTCTAAAGCAGCACAAGAAAACAGCTCTTTTCCCTTAAAAGTAACATGTTACTAGAGCTGTAGCAAGCCCTGGCAAACATTACCACCATTTTCCAGGCACATCAGAAATGTAAACTGATGTACAAAAATCAGGCACATATTTCTATTCAGCTCACCACTTTACCTTATACTTGTGAAGTCTCTGCAGAATTTCAACTCCTTGAGAAAGGATTCTTGTGTACACCCAGCCAACTGTGAAACGTCGCAGGTAATCAGGTAAAATTCTGTGACAGCTGAAAAATAAGAGCAGTTCAGATCAATTTAATTGTGTCAGTTTTACTAAGAATCCTTATACCTAAAGTATTTACCAAATTCAATGCCTTATATATCCAAATTGATCTGAAATGTGTATCCCAGCTGCAAAGTCAAGAACCCAAAGGTAAGGCCATAGTTTGGCTTAGGGAGCAGGTGCAAGCTGCACTTGCACAGCATATTTTAGTTTCAACACCAGTAGAATTATCAGTTAATCACTTTTGCAAGAGATGCAAAACAGTAACTTATTGCATCATATTTTGTTACCAACTCATTCTCATAACTCAGCAGTTTAACTTCAGAAACAAAGCTGAACAAAATAAGGAGTTTTGAACATTAAATTTCCTGCCATAAAAGAAGACTAACATCTTTTCACTAGGCACCTCTATGTTTCAGGACAAAGTCTTTTGAATGTCTTACTAAAATCAAAATAGATTTTTCCACTGTCTTCAATGTAAAATGGAACAGACCTCCAAATGACTCTCTATGAATATTATTTTAAATCAGTTGCCATGGAATTGAATATAATGCCAAACATAAGGCTTTAACTTGTGGTGTATCATTAAGCCAGAAAACAAAATAATTAAAAGAAAAACTGATGAAGAACACTTCAAACCCAATATACATTATTTCAGTTCTCAGATTTTCAGTAACATTTCCTGAGCAACACCCACTTGGAAATCTAAAGACATGAATAACCCAGCATGTTCTCCCATAACATTTGCAACATCCTTTTGCTCACAGTCAATTTTAATTTCTGCTTATTGCCATTTGTTTCAAAGCCATTAAAAAAAGAAATCTGTAACAAGGGAAAAATAAGGTTCTTGTTTTCCTACACTGGCACATAGAACAGACTTTTTTAGTGCTATATCCATAGAGTCTACCAACTCTTTCCCAAGATTTTATAAAAAACATCTTTTCATATTGTAACTTACAAGCTAAACAATCATGAAGTTCCAAGCTTTCAAGAACATTAAAGTCTCTTGCTTTATCTAGTTTAAATAACATCCCTAGCTGATAAGCCTCTCTCCAAAGGAAAAGTACCCAAGGTAAGATAATATACTTAAGTTTACAGTTCACTACCTCAAAGATGCATGATTCTTCAGTTCGTTCCAGTTTTCTTTAGCACACAAATAGAGATGATTAGCTTCTTCCCAGTTCCCATTTACCATTGCAGTGGCTATATCATTTGACAGATGAACAGCAGTTGCATACCTGTGGTAAAAAACTACAACTTTATTATGCTTAAAAAGCATCTACAGTTGAAAGAAATAAGGTGTTTCCCTTCCAGTCTCCAAAGACATTGAACCATGAAGCCATCTTTACTCTTAATCTTGTAGGGTTAGCAAAGTTTAAACTAGCAGGGCACATTATGTTTAAATTTACTTAACACTAGAGAATATAATTTTTGTTTAGCTCAAAATCAGCACAGCAAATGAAGAAACAGCTTTCATCACACGATCATAAAGCAAATAAATAAGCTATTTTGTTTCCAAGTGCAAGCCACTGTGAATTACAAGTCCTACCTTGATACAAAAATGTACTTAAAATAATTGCAAAATTAACACTTCTACAAATTTATATCTGGAGTTCTATATTGAATTCTTATTTGCCTGCACAAGTGCTGTAGTAAAGCTTTTCTAGAAATGAACACATTTCCAAGTTTCCAAAGCTCTCCCTACCTGATGAGATCCTCTCTGTCCTGGAAGACCTGTGTTTTCCTGTTTACTGTGTAACTGGGGAACACCATATGCCCCATGTTTGCCCTCAGGACTGTGGAGAGCAGGCCTTGCCGAGCACTGCCAGCTTCTTCCTCCTCCAGTGATTCAGGCAGTGAAAACAGCAGCAGGATTCGGGAAAAGACATCCCGAGCACCTTTGCAGACCCTGACACATTTTCCAGCCAGGTCCTTCACCCTGGAAGGACAAATAAAAATGGTTCTTACAGTGACTTGTAAGAACTAAAATATACTGAAAGAAGTATAACTTTTTTTCAAGACAATTAATGCATAAACTTGATTTTCCTTGAAAGAAGCGGAGAGAGATTACGCAGGTAAGTATTTACCCTTCTCTTTTGACTCACTGTGAATTGAAATATAATGCCACCCTTTTATTAATAAATTTACTAGATGCATTCCTTTCTTGAAAAGGCATCTAGATTTCAGTCACTTAAAGCACAACTTCTATTCACCTGCAAAATTTAGCTGTAAAGATTTACCTTTTTAAAATCACTGTCCCAATACCAGCCTGACTCGTGCTGAAGATCGAACGCTGCTTTGACAACTTCAGAAGATCATCCACAAGTTGCTGTTTCTGACCATTTGGGTTTGGCAAGTGAAAGATTTTTGCCAGAGTTTTTAGCTCAGGGGCTGAGAGCAAATCCAACCCTTCACACAGGTCTTCCAATTCAGATTCTAAAAGTAAAATTATCTACATATATTCATTGTGTTATACACATACACTCAAGCAACAGCTTGTACATTCATACAACCCAGTACTAATCTAATGATTTAGGTTGGATGCCCGAAAGATAGGCTGGAAATAAAACTTGATAGACCAGTGTCTATAGAGCAGGTATTTGTTTATTGCAGCGCTGGTGGTGAGGGGATATCTCCTCCTAATTCACCCACCTTTGTCAAGCGCTGTGGTATATTTTTACAGCAAGTATTGCTCACTGTTACTGTTACAACAGTTGTTGTACAACTTGTTGTAACAAGTTGCAACATCAGCACATACCTGGGGGAAATAATTCACATTCTATAAGCTCATGGTTGTTACAGAGCTCTTTTGCACTGTGCCTGCACCTCCCCAGTTCGGGGGTCGTCGGGGTCTTTGATGAAGGCTCCCAAGGTCTTCTTCACATCTGAACTTTTCAACTGTGTCTTTGGAGCAGTTACAGCGTTCCTGGGTCTGTCTGGTCCTATGCAGCCTAAATTCTTTATTTTGTGGCTAATTTGCTTTACATTTGCCAATTTCTCATTAGTACTATACTTACAGATCTCTGAAACTATCCACCTGGTGAGTTTTTTCTTTTTATTTGTCTATTCAACCTTAAGCAACTAGTTAACCATATACATATACATACATTACATTGTATAGAAAGTTATTTATATCAGGTTATATAGGTAGGAAAGTTATAATTCAGGTTGCATAGGTATAAAAAACTATGATCCAGGTTATATAGGTATAAAAATTATGATTCAGGTTATATTGATGTCAGGTTATATAGATATATAAAAAGTCATGATTTAGGTTATATTGATATCAGATTGATATAATACTGATATTAGGTTATACAGATTTATCAGGCTACATTGATATCTTATAATTCAAGCTATATTATCACCTTGTAACTTTGACCTAAGTTATATAGCCATCAGGTTCTTAAAAAATGTATTAACAATGCTATCTGGTTCACCCTGAAATTCTTCTGCATCTTCTTCTGGATCTTTTCACATGTGTACTTTGAAGGAATGGAATAATCAGAAAAGAACACCCTTTACAACTTCAAAACAACTGCAAAGATTTAAAAATTCTCTTGAGTTATAAAAATAATGCTGTTCAGAAAAACTGTTTTTCTCTATTATCTAATTTTCACTATTTGTATTTTCACAAGACCACTCATCTACCTTATTCTGCTGCTCTGTTCTCTTCCCAAGGCACAGTCAAGCATATAGTGCATTGATCTCTAACATAACACAACTTCAGATTTTATTTGCAGTATTTTAAAGGTTTATTAACTTTACCTGTTTGTAGAAATACCTGTTTTATAAGCCTTACCTGTTTGTAGAAATCTGGCTTCAGCTAGTTCTTCAATTATTGGTGACAAATCCACACTTATCTCCCCGTATTCTATTTTGTTCACCTTTAACCAGTTCAGCTTGCGTTGAAAAAGTCTCACATACAACTTCTGTCCACCAACTGCAAATTTTATTTAAAGTAGGGAAGGACAAAAAGAAGAGTAAATCCTAAACACAATACTATGAACAATCACCACATTAACCAGAAAAATCACTTCGATGCAGGTACTCTCTGAAACACATTTTAAATCTCCCTGTGCTCTACCAGCAGACTTGGTAAAATACCAGACTTACCCTTCCAGGTAATTAATAAGTTTATTAGAATCTTTAAGTTTTGTAGGTGGAAAAGTGTTACAACATATTTTGCAGGTAATGTACATTACTAAAATGCATTTTGACATGCTTACCCTTCAAGAAATATTTAGTTTTATAGAAAAAGAGAACTTCATTTTTCAACCCTGCATTTTGTGTTGTTAAATAGGTCTTTTTGCTCTCTTAAACAGTCATTCAATAACCAAATATTTCATGCTAGGGAACAGAAGAAGCTGCAGTCTGACAGAATAATTTCATAACCACAGAATACCTCTTCATGCAGCATTCTTCAGGTTCTTATTTTTCCAAAGATAAACCAAATTATACTTATATATCTATTGAAAACAATGAGAAAAAAACTCCTATTAATTTGATTTTTATCAGGGAAGTATTCTTTTAAAGTGCCTTTAAAAAAGACTTTTAAAATACTAACGATGCTGAAATTCAACAAAATAGCTTATTAAATTTTAGCTGAAAATAGTCTAGCTATTATTACCACATTCCACAACCTTCTGAATACTTAATTCAACCCCCACTAACTTCTAAATGTTTTACCCCTGTCTGCAGCTGCTTAACTGAAACTCATCATCAATGAAATAACACTGCAACACTACCAGACTTAGACATACTTAAGAAATGGCAGATAAACATTAAAAGTTTATTTATCAATTCTCCTGTCCTTATAAGACTTTTCCAGCCTTTTCTTTATTAGAATCTTTCCAGTATCAGTTCATGGGAGAAGTACATTCAGATATATAGGCTTGTCATTTTCTCTGTGGGGTTATAACTCCTTTAAAGTCTGTCCCCAGTTTTTATCTTTCTGGAGAAAGGAAAAAGGTTAACATGTGGACACTCTTTCTCCAGACCACAGAACTAACCAAACTAGAGCTGCAATAATAATTTCATAATAAGCTTCATAAACTTATGAAGTTAGAGTTAGAGACAACTCACTGAAGAATGGTAGCCATTTCAGCAGAAAATAATTAAATACTGGAAAATATGTATATTCAAGCAACTCCATAGTACTAAGGTGTGTGGGCTTTTTTGTGTTATGATAACTGAAAGATGATGCTTGAGTAGAAACTTCTCACGTGGGACAGATAACTCATCTACCTGAACTTTTAAAGTATCCTGCCTGGTATTTCTTGAAGGCAATGACATCCATCTGTCAGTTGTCCAGGATTTGTTATCTACTGACTCAGTGCTATCCTCTCACTTCTCACAGCTCAATTGCTGCATCTTTCCTACCCTGCAAAGAGAGATTGTTTCACCTGTGACCCTCACATCCAGTGCAGACATGGATTTATCAGCACCACTTTGCAGTAATTCTTTCTGTATTCCCAACTCACATGAGAGGGGAATTCTGAAATCATACCACTGAAAGAGAAACAAGTTTTTTATCTAACAACAAGCTCCTGTTACTGATCAGTGTTGTTGATGTCCAGGGAACAGAGTGTGGAAATGAGGAAGGTGTATCCTGAACATCTCTTCTAGTGTTTGTCAAAGTAGCCAATGCCTGCATACACTACTGGCCTGTGAGTTTATTCCTGGATCTTTGGATGCAAATGATGTGCATCTACTGCTTGCCTCAGAGAGGCAGAAACAAGACTTCTGTTGCTTTTTTTCTTTATATATTCCCCTTTAACTACCACAAGATGAACAAGGCATTACCAAGCTCCAAGATGTCACTACTGTAATACTCTTATGGTCTGGAGTGCACCAATGGGTTCTGCAGACCCCCCCCCAGATTTGGCTGCATAAGGCTGTGTCCCCCGATTCTCTCAGGATCTGTAGCTAACAACATTAGGAGAGTTTATTTACAAAAGGACACTGAGAGGTACATCTCCTGAGAAAATGGATCTTCTTCCCCTAAAAAAATTCATCAAGTTAAATTGTCAACTGATATGGTACTTCTCACATAAAACTATGTAACAATGCTTTCTACAAGAGGGAACGTGGAAATGTATTTTAAAAAAAGAAAAGATACCTGATAATTTGTAGAACTTGGTTATAATGTTCAAATCTTGTTCATTAAATAGTCTGACATCATCTTCATTCTCCAATACTGCTCGCAGCACTAGTAAAAAATTCTGGAGGTAGTATGGGTGACCAGGAGAGCTGGGCACAGAGAGGACCTCATCTATTTTGTCTAGCATGTCCCCAGTGGAATCCTGAGGTTCTGCCTTTTCCACAGTTTCTAACAAAGTGTGGTTCACATCATTCTTAAAGTCTTCAAGAACTTCCACAGGAAGTACTTCTGCATCATCCCTGCTAAAGCAATTTTCTGTCCCACAGTTTACTTCTGTCTTTGAAGGAGTAACCTCAGTGTGAGGCTGAGTCTTAACTTCCAAATTACTGCTCAGCTCTGCTGAAGTATGGATAGCTAGAGATGTTTCAAATTTATCAGGACTAAGTACACCACCTTCAGACCTGCTTTCTGCTTTGGTGCTCCTTGTACCAGATGGGAACCTTTTGTCATTACTGTTATCGGCCAGTAAAGGTAATTGAACCATATCCACAAGGTCTTCTCGATTACATTTGTTTATTTCATTTTGAAATTCAGGTTCCCTCTTTGAAAAATTTTGTTCCTCGTGCTCTCTCTGAGAAGGCTGATTTTCTTTCTGAGAACTCTGCCCAGCATCAGTCTCATCACCATCATCATCACCATCCAGTGCTGCAGCACTTCCACAGGCACTGTGAACAGCCGGAGGTGAAGAGTTGATTTCTTCATACAAGACCTGTTTTCCCCCCTGCAGACAGCATCTTCTGGACAGTTTAGAAGACAAGCTTCCCAAGGAGACTGTTCTAACTGTTCGAGCCTGGGGTTCATTGTTAACACTACAGACTGAGTTATTGCTAAAATAAGGACTAGTCTGTTGTGCTGCACTCCCTCCTGCTTTCAATAAATTACTTTTGGAAGGACTTGTTTCTAGATTTAAGAGTTTTTTTGAAAAATATGAGCTGGAATTATTGCTCAGATTTGCAGCTGGGGGATTCTTACTCCTAAAAGAATTCAGTGTAGCATCAACGGCACCAATCTCACCATGGTTTCTCTGACATGTTTCATCAATGTGTTTATTTATTCCGTATCTTGGCACCAATTGCCCACACATGGGACAGCTAATTTTGGCAGGGGGGACATTGTTAAAAAAGGAAGTAATAGAGGATGATGCTGAAGGTGCAGATGGTGTTCCTGTAACTTCCACTTTTTTTGTTGTTTCTTTTCTCTTCTTATTTTTACTGAATGACAAACTTATTTGGGATCTTTTGATTCCTGAAGACCTAGTTTCTGCCATTACAAAACTTCACAGTGATTACATGGCACAGACAACTCCATTTAGACCATATTTCTTTATTCCGTAGTACTTAAAAGACTTCCCTTGGCTTTTCCTTTTCCATCTGTAATCCTCTGACATGCCTTGAAAAAAAAAATACATCAAATGAGTGGTCTTCTAAAGTACCAGATGTAACCAAGATGAACAGAAGCACAGAAATCAAGCAATCCTTAATTTACAATGCTACTGTCCTTCAGCCTGCCTTACCAGGCAGGGAAGCACACCACAGGCAAGCTGAGCACTGCAGTTGCCTTTAAATGACTTAATAAATGGAAATTTAATCTCAAGTTTGCATTTACATCAGTAAATGAACCTGGAATTCAATCAGACAGGTCCTCTAATTTTCACAGAACAGTCAGGGTTGGAAGGCACCTCTGGAGATCATCCAGTCCAACCCCCCTGGCCAGGCAGGGTCACCTGGAGCAGGTAACACAGGAACGCGTCCAGGTGGGTTTGGAATGTCTCCACAGAGGGACTCCATGAGCATCCCGGGCAGCTCTCCCAGCGCTCTGCCACCCTCAGAGTGAAGTTCTTCCTCATGATGAGGTGAAACTTCTCGTGTTTTAGTTTATGGCCACTGCTCTTCGCCCTGTCGCTGGGAACATCTATCTTGTTTGCTGCTGATACACCATTTTCGGTGCCAAGCACCCATTTCCAGAGCACTCACCCTCACCCTCACCCTCACGGCTGCCGTGCGAGCCCGAGCCCGCATCGCGCCGGGGCCTAACTCTGCCAGGGCCTAACTCTGCCAGGGCCGGGGATCAGGAGCTGCCGACGGATCCAGACCGCTGTGCAGGTGCTCTGGATGGCGGGACCCAGGTTCCCGAGGGACTCCCGGTGCTGCCATTCTGACGGGCCCGCCCCTCACCGGCCCGCCCCGCTGCCGCCAACGCCCTTCCCCGCGCTGGGACCCCCTCGGCCGCCAATACCCCTGAGGAAACGGGCCCAGCCGGAGCCCCCCACAGCCCGCCCGGCCCGGCCCGGCCGTCCGCCCTTCCCCACGCACCGGCACCGCAGCCGCGCGTCGTTCCCGGGGCCGTGCGGGGCCAGGCCGCGCCGTGAGGGCCGGGCGGGGCCGCCGCCGCTCCCGCCCGCCGCCAGGCCTGAGCAATGGAGCGCCGATGGCGGGCGCCGCGCTCCGCGCGCTCCCTCACGCAGAGCGGGGTCTACTGCAAACACCGGGCCCTGCGCAGATTTAAAACTTCCCTTCACGACAACGTGTGGAAAACAGCTGAGGTCCACAGGAGCAGCAACTGGAGGTTTCTTCTGATGTTAGTGAGTTTTTTGGTGTGTCGTTAGTGGGGTTTTGTGTTTTGTGTTTTGTTTTCGTTCAGGCAAGGAAAGATCAAATAGTGAAATATTTTCACCCTGAGAATGATTGTTTGTATGGACCCTGAAAACGGTGCTGGTATGGGAGATTATTCCTCTGAGTGTTAAAATAAGCGGGTAGAGAAGGGATCTGATCGCTGGTGTGTGCAGGGAGGTGCCAGAGGAGGGCCCAGGCTCTGCCCGGTGCTGCCCAGCAATGGGACACGGCACCACGGGCAGAAACTGAGACACAGAACTTCCAGCTGAGCATGAGGAAGAACTTCTTTACTGTGCAGGTGACTGAGCACTGGATCCGGCTGTCCAGAGAGGCTGGAGTCTCTCTCACTGGAGCTATTCCACAACAATCCTGTGCCATGTGCCTCTGGGATGACCCTGCTTGAGCAGGGAATTAGACCAGACGACCCCACTGAGGTCCCTTCCAACCCAAACCATTCTTGGACTCAGTCTAAGTTAAAAGATGCCATTTCGTAGCTCTGGGTTACCACAGGCTTAAAAATCTTTTGTGTCTTCCCTCTTTGCCAATCACAACTTCAAAAGATAATTTCTATAATTTAAATGCCTGGATATATCTTAAGTTTCAATAAATGCAGTTCCTCCTGCTATAGATCCAGAGCTATTACAACAGCAGATACAAAGCTCTGGGCTATAGATTAAAGAGACTGTATAGTCACAGCATATGTCAAGTGTTTTAGACTGCTATGTATCTCCCCACACCAAGAACTTTTGTTTTTGGAATAAATCAGAGTTCTGTGGTAGAAAATAAGAGTAAAATCTACAGAAAACTGTGTGAACATCACCTCAGAAGTTCACGAAGTATTTTAAAGATCAGCACAGAGTAAAACCTACCCAAGTGTGGGGAAAAAAAAAAATTTAATCTATACAAGGTGCAAATTACAACTTCAGTTTATGAACAGAGATTGATTTCTCCTTCTTTTGTTTCTTCTTTAATTTGCTGGCATCTTTGATTTGCATTCGCACTTGATCTTGTAGCTGAGAAAAGAAGGCCTGGGATGATTTCAAGGCCTTGTCTTTACCTTCATCCTGTCATTGGACAAAACATTTGTTATAACCAAGAAATGTACAAACCGTTCCATTATATTGCTTACTAGTTACTCAAGCATAATGGTATTTGACCTAAGAAAGATCTGGTAACTGATTTTCAAAGAATATTGTTCACATTTTTATTCCACTCCTGCTATGTAAAGAAATTAAGATTACATTCTCTTCCTAAGTAGCAATTAGCATGATGGGTAAGAGCAGGTATCAAGAACAAGATCCTTGCACATCATGAAATACAACTGGCTATCTCTATTTTGTGTTCTACTTGCCTTTTGGAAAGGTAAGTACAAACATCTGGAAGTAAAGAAATTACTTGTCCTATTAGTTTCTAATACTTCAAAATTTCAGAGACTTTTAGAATTTCATTTAAAAGTCATCATAAGTGGAGCACAAATTTACTGTTTTATAGCGTGCAAAACAATATCAATCGGACCAGATTATAGGGAAGGCTCCACAGTAAAGAAAAAGTTAAACAGGAATATTGTGTTACAAAACAGTTTAAGTTACCCAAAGCTTAGACAGAACATAGAAACCTCAATGTGCATTCAAGTAGTCCCACCTGATTAAGTGGAATGGCTTAAATGCAGGAAATAAAGAACATATCTTAGTATTTGTAGGAATATCACCTTGTGAACTTCGAAATAAATAGGAAAGTTGCACCTTGCACAAGTAATTTCTGCCTGATGAACGTACTTTTATATAGAGTAATTGTATCATACAGTTTTTTCATAGTTTTCCAACCTTATACTTGTAATTCTTTGGGATAAAGTTTCCTTTCATCTCTAGGGAAAAATTATCTATCCTTGGGATTTCAGTCTTACCTTGAGCAGAGATGCTTTGCCTTCTTTAGTAAGCCTTTTTAATTTTGCTGCAACAGCTTTCTTGCTAAGTTTTGTGCCTTGTTCTGGTTTCATCTTTTCAAGAAGCTTTTGACGTTTCTCCTTTTCTTTTCTCCTCATACGTTTACGGAGCTTTTTCCTTCTTAGTTCTCGTTTTTTGTCTGTGGGAGTCTTTTCTGCGTCTGTTTTTACATCACCAGCTTTGTTCTTTTCCTAAATAGATCCATAACATTGCAAAAGACTCACTTCACAGAACTTAAATCTGTCTCAGCGTTTCCATTATTTAAAGTGCCACCTCAGGATATGGCAAAGGCCAAAAACTGACAAAAGCTGGGAAATGAGATTTGTACAACTGATCCAGGACATGCTAATTGTTCTGCTCTGGAGTGTCATTAGCTTTACCCCTCTCAATATCCATATAAATGTTGGGACAACAATGACCATCACATAACAGTCAAGATCAAAAACAAAGCATAGTATCGTGGCCTACTGGAGCCAAATAAAATTTACTCTTTCCCCAGTTAGGAAAATAAAAAAACAAACAAAAAAAACCACCTCAGCCCCCAAAACCTCCCAGCTACCACCAATGCTAAAATTCTAGGCAAGGAAGTCCACAAGGTGAGGAGCTTTCCTCCCACCAGGATGGGAAGGGCAGTATTCTCACTGATCTGACAGACAGTACATCCTTCTATAAACCAGACAGATCCTCTCCCAATCTTTATGCCGTTTTATATTTACCTTGATCTCCTCTGGTGCTAAGAGAGCAGCATCACTAACAGCAACTGGTGCTACTTCTTCCATACTTATAGCTGGAAGGTTGGAAATGATTTTAACTTCTGGCACCGGCTAGAAATAAGGAGACACATTCAGGACTGAGCACAGCATTTCAGCCACTGACAGACAACTGAAAATCACAAGTATTTGGATTTGTTTAGAGGCAAGCACAGTGCATTTAATATGAAATAAGAATGAGCTCAGTAAACACCGATGCTTACTTTGCTTTCCATTTCTGGAATATATTTTAAAGTATCCAGGTAAAAAAGGGAGAAGGCTCCCAACTTTATGAAACTTATGCACTTACTGGTTTGGGTGTGAAGTGGAAATTGCAAAGTGCATCTAGCTTCTGGAAGAGTGAATCCATCATTTCCTGAATTTCTTTGTGTTCGGGATTTTCTTCCTCTTCAGTCTTTTGCTGCATTAAAAATGCAATGTAACTGTAACATTGGCTATTTTACTTTAGCAAGGCTGGTAACAACACAACTTACAATTCAGAGCACTTTCATGGGTGAACACTCAGAAAAAGACTAAATTACTTCCACTTTGAAAGTGTGTAAATGAACACAGAAGAGTACATGGTGTGAACTTGAAACCCCAAGGAAAGGCATTGTTTATGTTACCTGGTGAAGTTTCATGTATTCTTGCTCGTAGATTTCAGCGAGACTCAGCTTACTCTTTTCATGATCCAAACTGATCCGCTTCTTGTACTCAAAAGCTTCCTCTTTGGGTTTTTCTTTTGGTACTACATCATCCCATGCCTGAGAAAGTCATAAAGGAATGACCAAATGCAATTACAGTCAAATACCAGGTACATCTTATTTTGAATATTTTTCAGTTATTTATCTGGCACATTAACTAGTTCATGCATGAAGCTTCCCAGGATTCACCAAGTTTTGCACTTTCACTAAAAAAAAATGTTATAGCTCTACTTGTCTCCTTGGTTTTAGTAAATGAAGGCAAAAACTGTAACAAGTTACAAACTCTTCCCCATCTTTTTTAATTCAGTGGACAGTAAGGCTCAACAAGCTGTGAGATACAAATTTTTTATCAGTGGCTTTGAAGCAAAATGAAGTAAACTGAGTTTTCTTCAGTGTTCAGAATGCTCAGAGCAGTAGTTATGGTAACAGCCAATACTTACAGGCTGGCTTTATATTCCAAACTCCTTACAGTTTTATCTGCACACACTCATGTTTTGAAGTGCAATAAAACTTGGCATATAACAGGGATATAAAAATAGGGCTACTTACAAATCTACAGACACATTCATCAAGACAAAAGAATAAAACAATCAGTTTCAGAAATTAACATCATTTTACACCTAGCATTGGAAATGCTTCAAACTCGTCCTTGGAATGTGCCCTGTGAATCAAGTCTATGAACAACGTTAGGAGGAACAGGTAAAATAATATTAACCTCATCCAATATTCTCTGTTTAATAATATCTTCAAGCTGAAAAGTAGTTTCTTCTGTGATCACAGGTGCTGAAAGGAAAAACAAAGAATTCTAAGATTAATGTTTCTCCAGCACTAAATAGTTCTTGTTCTATAAAGAATAAACTACAGATAAAGAAAGTAAAGCCTTCACAAAAATGTAGCAATTGAAGGTGAAGCAAGTATAAGTAAGTCATATTAGGTAAGGCTGATAAATTACCAGGTCTGCCACCAAAGTTATCAACTTTCAGGTAAATTAAAAACTAACCAAAAATAAAATATAATTTCCTGTAGTTTCCACTGTGAAAATGTACCACCACAAAATCACATCAAGAAGTTTAACCTGGTGTCCTGCTGCCCTGCTTTTGAGTCATAGGTGTTTCCAGCAAGGTCAAATAGCAGAACACCCAACAGGGTCTGCAACATGCAGTGAGCAAAGCCCTGTCCCTCTCCTTACCCATTCGCACTGCATGGTCAAAAAGCACTGTTTCTTCCAAAAGGCTGTTCTCAGGACGTTTCTGTCCAGTCACTTCTCCTTTAAGCTGCCAAGGTTTCTCCTCCAACAGTGCTTCTTCCAAGCTTTTTATTTTTTTGCTCATCTGGAAAACACAATTACCTAGGAAGTTTAAAACACAGCTC